GGGGTTTGGGGGTTTTGGGGTTGGTTTTTGTTGAAGTTTTTTCAGGGTTAATACATGTATTAGAATTTATGGTTCTGTAAATATAGGTTGCACAGTAGTAGGTGTGAATGTTTTGTACAGTGAGTAAGTTTAGGTATTTGAAGAGTGGGGGGGGGGGGGTATTGTGTAGCATTGGATTGCATGATAATTCTTACTGTAGCTTTTTATTGGGTTATTATTGGCTTTAGGTGGGTGGCTGCTGTTGATCTCCAGGTACAAATAGCATAGGTGAGGTAGGGATAGATGGGTGAATAGTATAATATGAGTAGGGCTAATTGTAGTACATAATAACATATCTTTGAGAGGATCCCAACTGTTTTGGATACTTTTTTTTTGTTATGTGTTGGGTATGAGTGTTGAATTTCAGGTTGCTGTCACGGTGCAGACCCAGAAATTTGCCCTCATTATGTTTAGCAATAAGAGTGTTGTCAATCGATAAGAGTGTTGTCACATCTGGACTAACACCATATCCCCTTTAAAATCAGGCATGAACATTAAAATGGTATAAAATACCGACAGATTGTTAGGTAAGACACATATGCAACAGTTAGGTATCTTTAATTTCGAAACGTTTCGCCTACACAGTAGGCTTCTTCAGTCGAGTACAGAAAAGTTGATAGAAGCAGAAGAGGCTTGAAGACGATGTAATCAGTCCATCACCCTTAAAGTTTTGAGGTGGTCAGTCCCTCAGTCTGGAGAAGAGCATTGTTCCAAAGTTTGAAACAATATGGAGTTGAAGTGACAGGATGGAGCCTTATATAGCGCCGGGAGGTGAGACGTAGGTCACTAGTAGAACGCAGATGTTGGGAGGTCAGGTCCCTCTCAAATCCAGCCGTTCTCACTAGTAGAGGTAGTCGAAGTTGATTTCAGGTCTGTACCAAGATACCCTTGTGTTGCAGTGTCTGACAGATTGAACATTAAAATGGTATAAAATACCGACATTGTTAGGTAAGACACATATGCAACAGTTAGGTATCTAACTGTTATGCTCTCTGAGCATAATCAAAACACGTTTTAAATATGTACAGATGATGCGGTACACATGTTACACAGTTGTGGCAGTAGCGGAACATAACTAGTGCAGTGCAGTGTAGATAAGTACTTTTCTGATTAATAAATACTTAAGATTGATTTTAGTTAAGGTTATAAAACCCTTGTTTAAAATGACAGAACAAGAGTATAAAATGGAAATACCAACAAGAAAAGAGAGTGTTTAAAAACAATGGGAGGACAATTTTGCTTTTACTGATAAAGGTGAAAGGGCTCTGTGTCTTATCTGTCATACAACCATCAGCCACTTTAAAGCTAGTAATTTAAAGGGCCACCATGAATGTGACCATAAAAAATTTGCATCTGAATTTCCTTCTGAATCAGAACTGTGAAAAATAAAATAAAAAAAATTAAATCTAATTTAGTCACTCAACAAAATAGCCTACTATATAGTTGTATTTTTTTATTTATAAATATATTCTTAAAATATTTTCTTTGGCTCTTGAACATTAAAAAATGTATGAAAAGTATTATATGTGGCTGTTGCGGCCCCCTACCAAACTAGTGGTTAAATGGTTAACCTGCCGGCCGGCAGTACCACTGGGTACGTCATCAAACCCATTGTGGGGACTGCTGAGCCGGCCTTAGAAGCATTATGTACCTGAACACCTCACGGTACGCATCTAAGCAGTAGGTACCTGAACACCTAATGGTACACATCTACTGGCAGTAGAGTATTCTACTGGCTTCTACTGATTTTAGAAGAAGCGCTCACCACAGCTCACTGAGTCTGTTTGCCTCAGTTATTTGATGCCTGCATTCAGTGAGCTTGCAATATAGTGTGTGCTGCATCAGACCACCTTGCGGTGTGTCAACTGGTCTTGAAGGCGGTAGATAGTACTCACCAGACCATCTTACGGTGTACTTCTACCAGCCTTAGAGAGTATTTACAGGACTACCGGTGATGTCTGCGGATTCACCGCCTACGCTGGTCAACTGTGGGCCGGAGTCATCGGATGCTGTTTAGTGGGACATTACATGAAGAAAAGGTTGGAGTGTTACACTGAACTGGGCTAGGACCATAGTGTGACACTTAGGGAAGTATGATGGAGTGGAACACTGAGATATGCTACAGGACCGTAGTGGAACACTGAGAAGAAAAGGGTGTCGTGTGACACTGAAGATGGCCTGGTTGTAGTGTACATTGAATAGTGTCATGTGACTGGCCTCGACAAAGACGCTATGCGGGTAGTGTGACGCAGAGACAAGGGTGTCAAGTGTGACACGGTTGCGAAAGTGTGTGTATTACACGAAGAAAAGGGTGTCAAGTGACACGGTGGAGAAAGAGCGTCACAACTCGGATAAGTGTCGTGAGAAACGCTGTTGATTGTAATTTATTATTTTAAATGTTACTTAATTTATTATTTTAGCATAGATATATATAGTGACACAGGAGTGTCAAGAAAGTTGTACCCTGTGTAGGATTACGAATTATTTATTATTTTAGTTAGATGCTAATTATAATTTATTATTGTAACATGTATATATATATTAAATACCTCTAGACCAAAGAAAGTTGATTTTTATATTATATTAAAGATTATTTATTTTAATGTGTATATATATATCCCGAACTTTTATATTACTAACACCTAATGTAAAAAAACCATTTGGTGTTTTTTGTAATAGTGGCTCTTCTTATCGAGGAACTTGCTCACTCTGCCCTATAGCATTCAAAGGCCTCATAGGTGCCCACATCCAAGGTGACTTTGGAAGATTCTAGAGTCAAATTAGGGCACATGACATCACTGACATTTCTTCTAGCCAATAAGAAATCTTCATCATTGTCAAGTAACATGAGAGCTCTATCTCCTCCTTAAGGGAAGTGAGGAGTTAAGATGTGAAGCAGTGTAGTTTCTGACTTGGGAGAGGGTTTTTTCCTAATAATTGTTTGCAATTCCTTGGAAGTAGGAATAGTGATTGGACTCACTGTCAGAAATTCATGAAAAACAAAGTTACGGCAAAGGTCATAAAAGTAAAAAGATCTTAAGGCCAACCTATAACACATAGAAACACATCCAAATTCTCCATTATTTCAGTGATTGAGCACTACAGGATTACTTTCCTTCTGTTACATACCCTCCCAAATTCATCCACTAACCTTTGCGACTGCTCTTCTAGAATCTTCCAGAAGAACCATGTCATCGGCAAAGAGCCTCTGTGACAACTCCCACTTTGTATCTGATTCAATGACTTAATACCACACCTCTTGCTAATACCCTAACATCACTTTTTTTTACAATCCTAGCTGTAACTGTGTTTAACTACCACGGTCTGTGTATGAACTAAATATAACATCAATTTCAGACTGATAGCTACAACTGCCAAATTCTACAAACATTCAGTTCCTGCATAAGCTTCATTATGGCAGAAGAATCAGAGAAAGAGGTTTGTGAACTTAAATGGTTTTTGTATTGTTTAAGACATAAATTTTTGTATTGTTTAAGACATGAATGAAAGAAGGGATGGTATGTAAGGATTAGCAGAGAGTATCCATAGTTCCTTTGTATAAGGGAAAAGATGCCTGGGAAGGATGTAAGAATTTTAAGGTTAAGGGTTTGACAGAATTATTATTGAAAGAGTTAGGAGAAAAAGAAAGTAGGATTTCAGAGGAAGATACAGGAAAAGAAGAGTATGTGTATGGATCATGTGTTTATAAGAAAGATAATGGTAAGAAACTGTTTGTTGCATTTATGGATATGGAAATGGCACATGGTATGAGTGGATATGAATGTGATATGACAGGTGTTGCAAGTATATAAAATAGGTGATATGTAGGTTGTTAACAGCTGTAATTGACTTTTACAGAGTGAACAAGCTCAGGTTAGGTTATGTAAGAGAGAAGGGGGAGAGTTTTCAAGTAAAAGCAGGCTTTAGACAAGATTGTGAAATTTTGTCATTAGTTTTTTTATTACATGCATTCAATTTTTTTTTTTTTTTTTTTTTTTTTTTGGGGGGGGGAGAATGTGTAGTATGTTCATATTTTGGGGGCACGAAACAGTTGAGAAATACTATATTGAAATTTTAATTTAGATTGTCCATTTGAAAACTAATCATGCATTTTGTTCAAAATATACTCATTGAATCTCCCACCCTTAAATCTGTTTCTTAACACAAGCATTTGAATTCAGTTACAATAAATAAATAGATATGGTCTCTGAAACACAAAATGAGTTCCAATCTTAACCCTTTGACTGTCGCGGCCGTATATATACGTTTACGAGGTACCGTGTTTGACGTATATATACTCATAAATTCTAGCGGCTTCAAATCAGGCAGGAGAAAGCTGGTAGGCCCACATGTGAGAGAATGGGTCTGTGTGGTCAGTGTGCACCATATAAAAAAAATCCTGGAGCACGCAGTGCATAATGAGAAAAAAAAACTCCGACCGTTTTTTTTTTTAATTAAAATGCCGACTTTGTGGTCTATTTTCGTATAGTATTTGTGGTTGTATTCTTGTTTTCTTGGTCTCATTTGATAGAATGGAAAACATATTATAGAAATAGAGGTGATTTTGATTAGTTTTACTATAAAAAGAACCTGGAAATGGAGCACAAAGTAGGGGAAATGTTTGATTTTTGCCGATGTTCAAAAGTAAACAAATGATGTCATTGTCCAATAAATGTCCAAATAGCCATTCTGATATGCAGTCATGAATGGGTTGATGTAATTTTTACAATTATTACAGTATTGCAGTAGTCTGCATAACAGTAAATCTTCTATTTTTTGTTTGAATCAAATTTCAAAATAAAAAGCAAGAGTAATATCAGAGGGGCCTGGAGACATGACTGATGAACAAAGAAAATGTTATTTTAGAGCCAGGAATGTCTGCATTGTTCATTCTGGTCCTTATTTTGAAATTGTCATATTTTTTAATTTTCGTGAAATTGGCCAAATTGCAAATTTCTGACCATGTTATTGGGTAGTTGAAATCGGTAAATGGGCAGTTTCTTGTACTCAATCGATGGAAAAAATGGAGTTCTGAAGAAATAGCTATGAGTTTGGTTGACTGGAATAATGGAATTAGCTGAAAATAGGGCTCAAAGTGGGCGAAATCGCCGATTTGTAAATATCGCTGAGGTCGCTAACTTCGCGAGAGCGTAATTCCGTCAGTTTTCCATCAAATTTCATTTTTTTGGTGGCTTTACAATCAGGAAAAGATTCTCTATCATTTCATAAGAAAAAATATTTTTTTTTTTTTTTAAATTTTGCGACACCAGGAGACACCTCAGGATTGGGGGTTGCGACAGTCAAAGGGTTAAACAAGTTTATTATGTGATCATAATTTTGAGCATACATATTAATACAGTTTGTACATTACTTTGACCATATGCAGTATTCATAATTAATTAATTCTTATTTCCAGGTAATGTTTATGAACAGAGAAATATCAAAGATGCCATGTTTTCGTGAAACATTTCTCTATAGCATTAGTTCTGGGCTTGCAGTGGGTCTCATCCATTTTATGCTAACATCAAAAGTCCAGCGCTCTTCACACCTAGCATTTGGCACATATGGATGTGTTACATTAGCGTACTGGTAAGTTTAACCTATTGAAAGAAGCTTGTTGATCCTGTATATTTAGATTACTGATGTTATGAATTTTCCCAGACAGTTGATCATTCCAGATGATTAATTGCCATATTACTTACCACTGCTCTGTTTGTATTCATACTGGTATAATTTAATTAACCCTTTCAGGGTCCAAAGGCAAAATCGGAAGGGGTGCCCCAGTGTCCAAGAAATTTTGAAAAAAAAAAATTATTTTTTTCTTACAGAATTAAAGAATATATTTTTGTGACGGTAATAAAACAAAACAAAAAAAAAAATTCTGATCAGTACTTACCGAGATACAGAGGCAAGAAGTTGACCCAAAATGACCGGGTGGTGGCAACATCGGCGATTTCCACAAACTCGCATTTCTTTGTTTTACGTTTTTTATACTTTTTTCTTTTCTTTTCTAATTTTTTTCTTTTTCTAGTAACATTTGTGGCCTGTGAGACCAATACTATATATAATGTATATATATACACTCACTGTATTGAACACAATAACCACACTAAAGTTATTATTATAATATTGTTTACCACTTTTGTTTATTATTATAATATTGTTTACCACTTTTGTTTATTACAATAAACATGCACAAATCTTGTATAATACTAATGTTCTGTTATATATTTACATATGTACAATCACTGGACATGTTTTTAGAACTGCTGCAGCTTGTGGAACTCCTTGAAACAAGGTATCATGCAAAGGACTCAGGAGAATAAGGAGAGCAGTCATAGAGCCAGAAATGAATATGCACAGATAAGAAGGGACGCCCAACGACAGTATGAAAACGACATAGCAGCGAAAGCCAAATCTGACCCAAAGCTGTTATACAGCCATATCAGGAGGAAAACAACAGTCAAGGACCAGGTAATCAGGCTAAGGAAGGAAGGAGGAGAGACAACAAGAAATGACCGTCAAGTATGTGAGGAACTCAACAAGAGATTTAAAGTGTTCACAGAGGAGACAGAAGGGGCTCCAGAAAGACAGGGAGGTGGGGCACACCACCAAGTGCTGGACACAGTACACATAACCAGTGAGCTAGATACCTCAAAGGCAATGGGGCCGGATAACATCTCTCCATGGGTCCTGAGAGAGGGAGCAGAGGCGCTATGTGTACCCCTAACAACAATATTCAATACATCTATCGAAACAGGGAGATTGCCTGAGGCATGGAAGACAGCAAGTGTAGTCCCAATCTTTAAAAAAGGAGACAGACATGAAGCACTAAACTACAGACCAGTGTCACTGGAGAAGATTATCAGAAGAGTGGTGGAACACCTAGAAAGGAATGATCTCATCAACAGCAGCCAACATGGTTTCAGGGATGGGAATTTCTGTGTCACAAACCTACTGGAGTTCTATGACATGGTGACAGCAGCAAGACAAGAGAGAGAGGGGTGGGTGGATTGCATTTTCTTAGACTGCAAGAAGGCGTTTGACATAGTTCCACACAAGAGATTAGTGCAAAAACTGGAGGACCAAGCAGGGATAACAGGGAAGGCACTACAATGAATCTGGGAATACTTGTCAGGAAGACAGCAGCGGGTCATGGTACGTGGCGAGGTATCAGAGCGGGCACCTGTGACCAGCGGGGTCCCACAGGGGTCAGTCCTAGGACCAGCGCTGTTTCTGGTATTTGTGAACGACATGACGGAAGGAATAGACTCCGAAGTGTCCCTGTTTGCAGATAACGTGAAGTTGATGAGAAGAATTCATTCGATCGAAGACCAGGCAGAACTATAAAGGGATCTGGACAGGCTGCAGACCTGGTCCGGTAATTGGCTCCTGGAGTTCAACCCCACCAAGTGCAAAGTCATGAAGATTGGGGAAGGGCAAAGAAGACTGCAGACAGAGTACAGTCTAGGGGGCTAGAGACTACAAAGCTCACTCAAGGAAAAAGATCTTGGGGTGAGTATAACACCAGGCACATCTGAAGCGCACATCAACCAAATAACTGCTGTAGCATATGGGCGCCTAGCAAACCTCAGAACAGCATTCCGACATCTTAATAAGGAATCGTTCAAGACCCTGTACACTGTGTATGTTAGGCCCATGTTGGAGTATGCGGCACCAGTTTGGAAATCACACCTAGCCAATTAGTTAGTTTAATATGTTTATTATGCACCCCATACCTATCCTGTGGGCAGTAGTCAAAAGATTACAGAGGTACATAATTGGTCCAGGGACTGGACTCCAAAGTTTTGATAGCTGAGCAAGTTACAGAGGTAATGAATTCACAATTTACAAAGGTAATGAACTCACAATTTACAAAGGTAATGAACTCCAGGTAGGTCTAGTCACAATCATGACAAGTTACAAAGGTATTTACAGATTACAGAGGTACGTAATGGGTCCAGGGACTGGGCCCCAGAGTTTTGATGGCTGAACTAGGTACAAGGTAATGAACGCACAAGTTACAAAGGTAATGAATACTGTAAGAATGGTTACTTACGTTTATACATGGCTACAATCATGAACAAATTATAGTGTAATGAGCAATTCCACACTTCCACACCCGGTCACAACTGTAATGAGTTAAATTGGTGCAAATATTGATTGTTGAGACACACCACACACAAACACAACACACACACACACAACAACCACACCACACCCACACACACACCCCAAAACACACACACATAAACACACACACACATAAAACACCCCACACATAAACACACACACACATAAAACACACACACCACACACACACACACACACACACACACCACACACACAACACACACACACACACACACACACACACCACACACACACACACAAACTCATACACACACACACACACACACCAACACACACACACACACACACACACACACAACACACACACACACACTCTTTACACATACACACACACACACAAACTCATACACACACACACACACTCATAACATACACATGCACACACAAACACACACACACACCTAGCCAAGCATGTAAAGAAACTAGAGAAAGTGCAAAGGTTTGCAACAAGACTAGTTTCAGAGCTAAGAGGTATGTCCTACAAGGAGAGGTTAAGGGAAATCAACCTGACGACACTGGAGGACAGGAGAGTTAGGGGGGACATGATAATGATGTACAAAATACTGAGAGGAATTGACAAGGTGGACAAAGACAGGATGTTCCAGAGATGGGACACAGCAACAAGGGGACACAGTTGGAAGTTGAAGACACAGATGAATCACAGGGCTGTTAGGAAGTATTTCTTCAGCCACAGAGTAGTCAGGAAGTGGAATAGTTTGGGAAGCGATGTAGTGGAGGCAGGATGCATACATAGCTTTAAGCAGAGGTATGATAAAGCTCACGGTTCAGGGAGAGTGACCTAGTAGCGACCAGTGAAGAGGCGGGGCCAGGAGCTTGGACTCGACCCCTGCAACCTCAACTAGGTGAGTACAGGTACCTTACATTCCTCGCACATAAACCGAGTGTCTTTGTGTCTTTGTTGCCGTCGTTTTGTTTGTGCACGACAACACATCTCTTCTGAGCAAATTTCTTCTTAGTTGCAGGAAGCTGTATTATGAAGTGATCACCTTCCCTCCTCAAACGCTTGGGTATTTCATGAGGAGTTCGAGGACGGTTTTGTATAGCAGGTGTTGTTACTTGGTACACCTACCATCTGACTTACGACCTGGAGTGAGAGCTGCTTTGCGAAAAAGCATGGTGAACAACGATAACTGAGCCGGCGTTCCCACAATGTTATACGGGTGCCTAGAATTTTTCTTCATGACGCACATCTACCACGCAGACCCATTCTCTCACATGCAGGCCTACCAGCCTTCTCGCTCTAAATTTGAAACCGCTAGAATTTTGGCATAGATCTATGGTTTGGACCCTCAAGGGGTTAAGGAATCCATTTGTCATGGTTTACTGGAAATTAGAAAAAGCCAGTAAAGGTGATTATGGTGTCAGTTTATTTGTAAGTCATTTACATTTTATACCTTTCATAATTTTTTTACTTAACATGAACAATAACTATTGAAATCAGTTAATTCTCTTCTAAGTGGTACTGTATATACAGTGGATTGTCAATTAAGATGGTAGTTGTGTTCTTGAAAGTGGCATCTGTTAAAAAATTATTGTCTAAAACAAAAAGAAGTACAGTGGAACCTCAAAAATCGAATGTATCACATATCGAACATTTCGAAAATAGGACCATTTTATTGGACAAACTGTGTCCCTATTATTGAACATGCCCCTATTTCCGGACTGCCGGGTACGGGACCTGTCTGCTGTCCGCGTCCCCGTGCAGGCGCCGTGAGCAGTCTTGCTTTGTTTATGCTTGAGTGAACACTAACCTGCACTCTCATTCACGCATTTTACAATCATTTTGTTGTGTTTAGTGCTTGTGGGACTGTGAAATAAGCTGCCATGGGCCCAAAGAAACTTGCTAGTGGTACCCCTGTGGTAAAGAAAGTGAGAAACACCATAGATGTGAAGAAGGAAATAATACGGAAGTATGAGAGTGGTGTGAGACTTGAGCTTGCCAGGATGTATGGGAAAAACAAGTCAACCATCGGTTCTATCCTGTCAAAGAAAGAACAAATCAAGGAAGCCAATGTTGGGAAAGGTGTTAATATAGGGATTGGATGAGGTGCCTTCTTCAGAGATTAAGGAGATTTGTGCCAAGTGGAATGATGTCCAAATGTTTGTGCAGAAGTACCACCTGAGCAAGCTGAAAACAAGCCATCTTTGCAAAAAGTTCAGTGACAGAACCCTGTCCTTTTTGGGGGGAAATGTTAAAGAGGCGCCAGAAACAGAGGACTGTGGACAGTATTTTGTGAGACAGGGGCCCAGTGACTCTCAAGTGGTCCTAGGGGCATTAAAAGACAGAGAAGGGAAGTAACCCCAAGAGAGGGCTTTGCTGAAGTCCTCATGGAGGGGGATTTCCTTCCAAACACTAACCCCAACTCCCTCCTCCTCCTCCCTATCTTCCAGATGCCATCACCAATCTTCAGTAA